TGTCAGCAGAGCCCCCTTCACAAGGAGTATGCTCTTTAAACCCCTGTGCCCAGCATGTGTCAGTGCTACTGAAAAGGGCATGTTCTGTACCTTTAAATTCTAGGTACTAATAACATTGCAAAGCCTCCTATAGTATGGCCTGATCCTTTGCATTTATGGTCTGGCTCCTCATCTATGGTGGACTAGTAAGTGATGGTAAGTCCAGAAAGCTGCTGCAGGCCACCTCCTGTTGGTATCCCAGGCAAGAGCAGACTCTCCTGCATTTCTCTCTCACTCCATGTATGATTTGCCCTCACTTTACTCTCTTCCTAAGAATCGGAGAACTGAGCAGGCCATTTTCCTTGCTTTTCTGTCTGCCCCTGCCATGGAACTGTTCTGAACTTGTTGTCCCACCACTTTAGAGTACAGTCAAAAGGAGAACTTGAGACTGTGATCTGCTTTAATGAGGATATGACTCCCTGGAGTTTCCCTACCCTCCCAACTCATTACATGCCTCTAAAACCGAATTTCTGAGTCTGTTGCTCATTACTAATTCTCAGTCATAGCCAGAAGAGTAACAGCAGTGAGAACAATCAAGAGTTCATGCCGTACTACACCCACCAGAGGCTCCCGAGCAAACAAAATGATAAAGGGATAAGGGTTTCAAAATTAATCAAAAACTATCATAATTGCCTGCCTACTTCACATTGCCACCAAAAATATATGAAGGCTTCTTTTTCAGGTTTTCTAGACTTCTCAAGTAAGTGCTAGCTATCCTTAAAGTAAGTGCTTAGCAGACATCTGTTATTCTGTTCTCTTCCCAGCCAAGAATAACCTTTGAACAACTGTTCTGCGGCTCATTAGATACTTATGGAATCCTATGTGTTGGCTTATACTGTGTGATGGATGAAAAAAAATGTGACTCAGAAAGGCGAGTATGCTGGCTTGGCAAGTGCTAGCCACCCACCCAAGCATAGGAATCAAAGCCACCTTATTGCAATGAAAGGGGAGTCCAGAGCTCAGGGTCAATGGTGGAGTAGCAGGGTGCTGAGATATTGGTAATAATATAAGAATAAAGACTGGGTGTAGACAACAGGATCCCGTGAATATTACCCTGGAAGGAGAACGTAGGCTTTGAATAATAATTCCTTTATAACCCATCTCTCATTCATGTTTGGAATTTTCTAAAGCTGGAAGCCACTCTGTGTATCACAAAGATTTCTCTGTTTTCTGGACTCATTGGAAAAATGTTTAATTGGTGCTTCTTTCTAGTCACTGTGTTTTACATTTTTAAATCAGCAGTGTAGTTTGCTCAGATTCCAATTTTATTAAAGGGAGATCATTCTGCTAGCCATGGGAAAGAGAGAGGAAATGTGTATGGAGGGTAAAGGAAAGATGTAGTCTAGAGCAATATAATCATGTAGTTCCAAGCCAGGATTCTCGCCACAGATGTAAGCAGTCAGAAGGAGAAATTTCGACTGATGGGATCCATTCCAGGTGAAGGACAAGGAAGCACAATTATTCAAAGTAGTGCTTTCAAATGAGGAGAAGGAAGAGGAGGAAGAATACCACATCAGCAAAAGAAAGGGAGAAAGAGATGGGAAGGCAGGTGTAGTTCCAGTGGGTGGCACACTGGGGGAGCTTTCACTTAGCACAAAGATTTCTTGGTGTATAGCCACTGCCGAGAAAGGAGATAGAAAGGGTAATGCAGGAGATTGAGAAGGGGTATAAGTTTACGTTACCTGCTGAGTCGTGTGAAAAGAGGTCTGTTGGGGATTTGCGATGTGATACTAGATAGTAAAGTCAAAGGACAAGGATTGGAAATCTCGATAAAGAGGGGATGTGCTCAGAGTAAGGGCTGGGAGAGAAAGAATGGTGAGAAGTTGTGGTTAGAGAGTGACTTATTGAAGCTTAAGATTTTTGATGTGGGACAACGTCGGGAAATGATAACATTCTGCATGTGTCAAGCAAGTGGTTTGAAGATGGGAGCTTTGGAGGGCAGCTATGCTCACCACTAGACCACCAACACCGCACCAAGAAGATGGATCTTTGGGTAGTGGATGTCAGAGAAATGAGCTTGGGTGACAGAGTTGTGACCACTTAGACACTGTAGCATGAACAGGGGATGGCATCTTTCTTTTGGCCATTGCCTGTAGCCACACTGTCCAGGCTGCAGGCTCAGAATTCATCTTTGGTTTCCCTTACAGGTTTGTGATTACCCGGCCAGCCAATGAGTGTCGTCTGCTGCCTTCCGATCTTGTGTTTTGTGCCATCCCTTTCAACACCTCCTGTTAGAAAATGGACAGTGTTTCTTCAGCTCAGATTCCAGAGGAAATTACAACGGTTGAGTCCTTAGCACCAGAGGAACATCCAGACATAAATCGTCCTTCCATAATTAGCACGGTGATAGATAAAATGACTCGGCGTTCCTACTCAGGAGTCCACCCTTCGAAGCCACCCCTTGTTAGTGATGTTGAACAATAAAAAGAAAAATAGTAGTGTGCCATTTTGTGCCCATTGCTTGTTTAGTTCATTGGTTTGAGATGAATTAAAGAGGTCCTCTGTGTGGGCAGATGCTGGTTAGAACTGAAACTAATGTGTCTATGACTAGGATCTATTTATATGCCTGGAGCATAGCAGATATGTAATAAAGATGGATATTATGGTATATTGGGATGAGGTGTCTGGGTGACGTCTGGTAGGTTAAAGTAGGTAACCTTCCACCCCCCTTCACTTCAGGAATATATGAAAGCTTTAAAACATTTCCCCATATTACATGTTCCAAAGTAGCAATTGGCACCGTGTATCAATCCACTGCTCCATAAACTTCATCTTCTATTAAGTCATTTTCACCCAGGCATTGCCCTGTTAACCTAATAAGAAAAGTTCAGCCCAACTAAGTAATATTCAGGCCCAGTTGGTGATCTTATAAGGAGGAGCTTGTGAGCAAAGCATCCTTTCATTATAGACGTAACCCAGGTAGAAAGAGAGAACAGAAACAATAAACCACATTTCTAAAGTGGATCATGTAATTTATGATATCCCTTTCATTACTAACGTCTCTAGTAACTTTGTATTATGTCACACATAAAACACCAGTTACTTAAATTTCAGATGAACAGCATTTTTTCCTGGCTCCTGCGGTTACATCGGGATATAGACCCACGTATAAGGATTTGGAGCCAAGATGCACAAATGAGAGAGAACATACGTCACTTGTTTTTCTTTCTTTTTTTTTTTCATTGCTCTATTAATTTTAGCTATAATTAATTAATGCAGAAAGGGGGTAAAAGCTCACAGTCTACACAATTTTACAAGAAGCACTGCAGGGTAAAGAAAGGTGGACATTTATCAATTATATCTTAGGGTCTTGGTGGACGCATTCCTGGGGGAGGTGGACCTCTAGTTCCTAGTGGAGGGGGGTCTCATTCCTGGAGGGGGCATGCCTATATGTGTTCCTCCATCAGGCGGAAGGCCAATTGGTGGGCCCACGGGTGGTCTCGTACCAGGTGGGGGAGCCGTAATTCCTGGAGGTGGGTTGCTCGGCCTGCGCGTGGGGGTGGGGATCCCGGTCCTGGTGGGCACCAGGGCTGGGGCTCTAGCAATCAGCAGCTGCTGCAGCGCCTCTCCCCTGTGGCGTCATCACCTGCTGGGACAGTTCTCCATCTCCTCCTACAGGAAGCCACACTGTCCAGGCTGCAGGCTCAGAATTCATCTTTGGTTTCCCTTACAGGTTTGTGATTACCCGGCCAGCCAATGATTGTGGTCTGCTGCCCTCCGATCTTGTGTTTTGTGCCATCCCTTTCAACACCTCCTATTACAAAACGGACAGTGTTTCTTCAGCTCAGAGTCTAGAGGAAATTACAATGGTTGAGTCCTTAGCACCAGAGGAACATCCAGACATAAATCGTCCTTCCATAATTAGAACGGTGATAGATAAAATGACTCAGCGTTCCTACTCACGAGTCCACCCTTCGAAGCCACCCCCTGTTAGTGATGTTGAACAATAAAAAGAAAAACAGTAGTGTGCCATTTTGTGCCCATTGCTTGCTTAGTTCTTTGGTTTGAGATGAATTAAAGAGGTCCTCTGTGTGGGCAGATGCTGGTTAGAACTGAAACTAATGTGTCTATGACTAGGATCTATTTATATGCCTGGAGCATAGCAGATATGTAATAAAGATGGATATTATGGTATATTGGGATGAGGTGTCTGGGTGACATCTGGTAGGTTAAAGTAGGTAACCTTCCACCCCCCTTCACTTCAGGAATATATGAAAGCTTTAAAACATTTCCCCATATTACATGTTCCAAAGTAGCAATTGGCACCGTGTATCAATCCACTGCTCCATAAACTTCATCTTCTATTAAGTCATTTTCACCCAGGCATTGCCCTGTTAACCTAATAAGAAAAGTTCAGCCCAACTAAGTAATATTCAGGCCCAGTTGGTGATCTTATAAGGAGGAGCTTG